AACGCCTGAGCCTCAAGCAACAGTGATGAGTCCAGGAGGACACCCAAACTGCTGACCTGAGACTTCAGGGGGAGTGTAACCCCGTTCAGCACAGGTTGCCACCCTATACCCCGGTCTGGTTTATGATCGACCAGGAGGACCTCTGTCTGGTTGGGATTAATCTTCAGCCTGTTCTTCCTCATCCAGACAGACACAGCGGCCAGGCACTCGTCTAGCACCCAAAGGGCTTCCTTGGAGTTAGGTGGAAAAGAGTAGTAGAGGAGTGATGTCTCTCATCCCCTTCATGAGAGACATCCCTCCCAAAATCTGCAGGAGCTTCCGCATCTGGAGAGCCTCTCTCGCCACCCTGCCACCCGCGCCCCCAGCTGTGTTGCTTAGCAACATTTTAATTCAAGAGGAATGGAAGGAGACGAAATCCCCGCGGAGAGGGAAGCGGGAACAAGAGGGCCATTGACAGATGAGCTGAGTTGTTTCTTCTAATAGACTGTGAAGATCACCCGCTCTTTTCATGAATGATAAATGGAGTGTATACAGATCGATGGATTCGGCCATCAACGGGAACCGGATTCTGCATCCGAGGCAGAGGAGGCCACACGGTGCGGATTCGGGAGTGCCTTTTTCTCAAAGGTTCAAACAGGAGGAAACGGGTGGAAACGCTTGGTCCTCCTCTGCCCTTTTCTGTTGTTGGCTGCCCCAGACACAGAGGGAGCGGGACTGCTCCAGATACAGAGGGAGCGGGATTGCTCCAGATACAAATCCAGGTGGAGAAGAGCCAGCCGTGGCAGAGATCATTTCCCAGCGGTAGAAAAAGGAGGCCTTTCTTGACTTGTTAGTTAGCATGGACACATTACACTAGCTGGAACTGCCTATGACAGTGAAAACCAGCTGATCCCTAGAATCCATCTAAAACACAGAATGTGCTTTTCACCTTAAGAACAGACAAGCATCCCGAGCTCTGAGCATTATGACCTGGGAAGGAATCCCACTGGAGCATTGCAGCGCACCCAAATACCTGGAGGAGTCACTCTGGACCGTGCCCTGACCTACAAGAAGCACTGCCTGAACATCAAGCAAAAAGTGGTGCTAGAAACAATATCATACGAAAGCTGACTGGCACAACCTGGGGATCACAACCAGACACAGTGAAGACATCTGCCCTTGCGCTATGCTACTCTGCTGCTGAGTATGCATGCCCAGTGTGGAACACCTCTCACCACGCTAAAACAGTGGATGTGGCTCTTAATGAGACATGCCGCATTATCACGGGGTGTCTGCGCCCTACACCACTGGAGAAATTACACTGCTTAGCCGGTATTGCACCACCTGACATCCGCCGGGAAGTAGCAGCAATAGTGAAAGGACCAAGGCAGAGACATCTCCAGCTCATCCCTGTTTGGCTATCAGCCAGCACGCCAATGACTTAAATCAAGAAATAGTTTTCTAAGATCTACAGAGGCACTCGTTGGAACACCCCAGCAAGCGAGAGTCCAAAGGTTGCAGGCCAAAACCCCGAACCTCAATCAATGGCTGATACCAAATGAGAGACTCTCTCCTGGGCACACAGAAGACTGGGGCAACTTGGAAGGCACTGAACAGACTGCGCTCTGGCACCACGAGATGCAGAGCCAACCTTCAGAAATGGGGCCACAAAGTGGAATCCACAACATGCGAGTGTGGAGAAGAGCAAAACACTGACCACCTGCTGCGATGCAACCTGAGCTCTGCCACATGATGCACAAGGGAGGACCTTCTTGAGGCAACACCAGAGGCACTCCAAGGGGCCAGATACTGGTCAAAGGACATTTAATCAACTACCAAGCTTGCAAACTCTGTGTCTTTTGTATGTTTGTTTGTTTTGTTCTGTTAAAAATGTAATACAATTGACTGGTTGCCCTGACACGACAAATAAATAAGCTGGAACTCACTTACAAAAAGTTAGGTTTTAGAAACAGATATTTAGTCCTGTTAATAGTAATAATAATAATCATCATCATCATCATCTTTATTCATACCCTGCCACCATCTCCCCAGTGGGGACTTGGAGCGGCTTACATGGGGGCCAAGCCCGGACACCATATTACAACAAGATAAAACCAGAGCATAAACAATAAACAACATCATCAAAAATTACATGAAACACAGTCATAAAGTAACATTTCAATAAGCACAATCACAATAACAATGGGCGGGCCACATGTACAGGACATGATGATTAAAAGACTCTAATGAGATAAAAATAGGAGCAAGTTATTTGCAGGGAACTCATAAAAACACACAGAATTTGGAGGGTGTGTATTCCAATGGGAAGAGCATTGAGGGGTGCCGTGGTGTCCTATTGTGCACCTACTTGCCAAAGGCGCAGCGGAAGAGCCAGGTTTTAAGGTCCTTTTTGAACGTTTCTTTCATGTTTGTATGTTTGTATATTTTAAATGGTTATGGTGATGCTTTTACGTTAAGTCACTTTGAGTCCCCCTCGCAGGAGGGAGAGAATGCGGGGTATAAGTAAATATAATAATAATAATAATAATAATAATAATAATAATGCAACCCCCCCCCCCCCAGCATGTACATTATGTTGTCGATGGCCAGAATCACTGTTGTGAGTTTCCCAGCCTGCCTGGCCATGTTCCAGAAGCATTCTCTCCTGACGTTTCGCCCACATCTATGGCAGGCGTCCTCAAAGGACGTAAGATATATTGGAAACTAAGCAAGGGAGGTTTACATGTCCAGGGTGGGAGAAAGAACTCTGACTTTGGGAGGCAAGTGTGTATGCTGCAATTAATCACCTTCAGTAGCATTGAAAAGCCTTGCAGCTTCAAGGCTTGGCTGAGTCCTTTATGGGGAATCTTTTGTTAGGAGGTGATAGCTGGCCCTGATTGTCTCATGTCTGGAATTCACCCTTTTTTGAGAGAGAGAGTGTTCCTCTTTAATGAGTGTCCTGATTTTAGAGTTTTTTTTAATACTGGTAGCCAGATTTTGTTCATTTTCGTGCTTTTCTCCTTTCTGTTGAGATTCCTCACCTGCTTCTTGTGGATATCAGTGGCTTTTCTGTGTAGCCTTATGTGATGGTTGTGAGAGTGGTCCAGCATTTCTGTGTTCTCCAATAATATGCTGTGTCCAGGTTGGTTCACCGGGTGTACTGTTATGGATGACCTCTCTGGTTGAGTTAGTCTGCAGTGCCTTCCATGTTCCTTGATTCATGTTTGGCCAATGCTGCTGCGTTTGGGGGTCCCCATGTAGACTTGTCCACGGCTGCATGGTACACGGTAGACTCCTGCAGAAGTGAGAGGATCCCTCTTGTCCTTTGCTGAATGTAACATGTGTTGGATTTCCTTGGTGGGTCTGTAGATAATTTGTAGGTTGTGTTTCCTCCTCAGCTTCCCTCTGCTGTCAGTGGTTCCCTTGACGTCTGGCAAGAACCCTTTTCCTCTGGGTGGATCATGGTCTTCACTCTCGTGGCTTCTTCTCGGTCTTGAAGCCCTTCTGATGTCCGAGGTGGAGTCTCCATTAGCCTGGAGAACCCAGCTGAGGTGGTTCCGTTCCTCTTGGAGGAGGTGGGCTTCGCAGATTCCTTTTGCCCGGTCTGCCAAGGCTGTAATGATGCTTCTCTTTGGACTTGAGTGATGGTTGGAGCTTTTATGTAGGTATCTATCCATGTGTGTGGGTTTTCTGTAGACTGTATGGCCCAATTGTTGATCTGGTTTACGGATGACTAGGACATCTAGAAATGGTGGTTTTCCTTCATTTCCTTTTTTCATGGTGAATTCGATGTTTGGGTGGATGCTGTTGAGGTGCTTCAGGAACTTGTTGAGTTCTTCTTCCCCATGGCTCCAAATGGTGAAGGCATCATCCACTAATCTGAACCATTTAGTGGGCTTTTTGTTGCTGTATCCAGGGCTTGTTTTTCAAAGTGTTCCATGCAGAAATTTGCTCTGACTGGGCTGAGAGGTCTCCCCATGGATACCCCATCTTTCTGTTCATAGTATTCACTGGAAATAGCCAGTGGTGAGGCAATGGTGAAACAGGGCTCTGATGTCTTCTGGGAAATTCTGGTTGATTAATGTGATGGGGTCTGCTGCCAGGATCTTGGGAATTCTAGACATGAAACAATCAGGGACAGCTAACACTTCCCAACAAAAGATTCCTCCAGGCAGTAACCAGCCAGGCCTTGCAACTTCTATCTGTTGGATGCAAGTGTGAATCCTGCAATTGAGATATTCTTTCTCCCACCCTGGACATCATTCCACAGATATATAAACCTCCCTTTGCTCAGTTTCCAATATACCTCACAACCTCTGAGGATGCCTGCCATGGATGTGAGTGAAACATCAGGAGAGAATGCTTCTGGAACATGGCCAGATAGCCAAGAAACTCACAGCAACCCAGCATATACATTATTGTTTGTAAGTCAAGTGCATTGAGTTCAATGAGGAAAGCCACTCCAGATGTTGTCACTACTCCTCTTGGTAGATTCTCCAAGACTTTATCCGCACTGCAGAATTATTGCAGTTTGCCCCCCATCAACTGCCCTGACTCAATGTTGTGGAATCATTGGAATTGTTGTTTGGTGAGGTGCCAGCACTCTTTGGCAGAGAAGGCTAAAGACCTTGTGCAACTACAAGTCCCAGGATTCCATAGCATTGAGCCATGGCAGTTCAGGCTTCAAAGTGGTGTCAAACTGCATCAATTCTATACTGTAGATGCGCCCCAGGAAACAGGAAGGTGCAGTGATTTCATTCAGAGGTGTTGTCCTTCTGATGATGACGGGAACACAATTCCCCAAAGAGTCTTCCAAGCTTGAGGACCACTCCATTGAGACCTTCAGGTGTGCTCCATCCTTCATCCCATCACTGTGTTCATTTTCAGTAGGCAAACATGTGCTGTCTTTATTGAAAAAGAGAAGGGCCTTGGGGTGTTGGCCCCGCCGCCTGAGTGGCCATTCCTCCCGACCAAGGTCAGCTAACAGCTCTTTTGCTTTCCTTTTCTGTTCCTATGTGTAGACTGCAGAGAAGACAAAGCCTCGAAACATTCCAGTAAAGTAAGTCCTTTTAATATCCATTGGAGAAGGAGGGGGAAGGAAGGCCTCTGGCGGGAAGTGGGCGGAAATAAAACGTCCACGGTAAGGCAATAAACACAGGTTGGTCTATAGCCATAGCGAAAGAACAAAAGAAAGAGAGGGAGAGATCCCTGAGGGTCAAGGGCAGGCTTGGGATTTTTCATGGCTCCTGGCCCCAAGGTGTCCCTGGTTTACATGAATTAATATGTACCATTGGTGATAGTATGATAGCCGGGTTCCGAAGCTCCGAGCGGTATGGAGATGCCGCAAAGGCGTTTATGAATAGGAAGAGAGGGGGTGGAGGGAAAGCAGGGAGAGCGGAGGAAGGATAGAAAGGAGGGTAAGGTTTAGAGTTTGGGTAAGGGTTAGGGTAAGATTAGAGTTAGGGTTAGGGTATGGTTTAGGGTTAGGGTAAGGTCCCTAGGGTTTGAGTAAGGCTTASGGTTAGGGTTAGGGTGTGGTTAGAGTTAGGGTAAGGTTTAGAGTTTGGGTAAGGGTTACGGTTAGGGTAGGGTTAGAGTTAGGGTTAGGGTATAGTTTAGGGTTAGGGTAAGGTTTATGGTTTGGGTTAGGGTTACCGCTAGGGTTAGGGTTTGGGTATGGTTTAGGGTTAGGGTAAGGTTTAGAGTTTGGGTAAGGGTTACAGTTAGGGTAGGGTTAGGGCTAGGGTATGGTTTAGGGTTAGGGTAAGGTTTAGGGTTTGAGTAAGGCTTACGGTTAGGGTTAGGGTTAGGCTGTGGTTAGAGTTAGGGTAAGGTTTAGAGTTTGTGTAAGGGTTACGGGTAGGGTAGGTTTAGAGTTAGGGTTAGGGTATGGTTTAGGGTTAGGGTAAGGTTTAGAGTTTGGGTAAGGYTTACGATTAGGGTAGGGTTWGGGTTAGGGCAAGMTTTAGGGGTTYGGTTAGGGTTACCGTTAGGGTTAGGGTTTGGTTAGGGCAAGGTTTAGGGTTTTAGTTATGGTTGTGGTTAGGGCAAGGTTTAGGGTTTGGGCAAGGTTTAGGGTTCGGGTAAGGGTTAGGGTAGGATTTGAGTAAGGGGTTAAGCTTAGGTTTACAGAACGGTTCAGGGTTAGGGTTAGGGTTAGGGTTAGGGTATGTTTTAGGATTTGGGTAAGGGTTAGGATAAGGGTTTGAGTAAGGGGTTAGGCTTAGGCTTACGGAACGGTTCAGGGTTAGGGTTAGGGGTTAGGGTTTCACCATTAAAGAACTCTTATATTCCTTCTCTATTATCTCTCTCTGGCCTGGCTGACATTAGCTAAGTCTCTCTTGCGCAAACAGTGCTCCCGAAGGAGCGAGGTGGCATCTCCGCAATGCTCTGAGCTTCCGGACCCAGCTATCATACTATTGCCATACCATCTATGAATAGCTGCGAAATCATATTCTAATCACATTCAGTGCAGCGATCTCCTCGCCTCGAGTGGCGGGGGGTGGGGGGGAGGGCACCCATGCTCCCAAGATGATGCCTTTCACTCTCTGAGAAGACCTGGCAGAGGGGAAATCATGCAGCGCATGGGGGGAGAGGCGCATGGGCAGGTATTTTGCCCCGTGTGCTGGGCCTTTCCTCACCTGTTGCTGGGAAGTCCTTCCATGCATGTTGACCGAAAGGCTGAGCCAGGCACTGGTTTCAAATGCATTTCTCAATGTTATTATTTATTTATTCTTATTATGCCAATGGGGCTGGGGGTGGGGCGGTGGGGGGCAGGGTCCTCACAAAAGTGGGAAATGCAAATGGAAGCACACACTTGTTTTTCATCTGAGAGAACACTTCCTTCTCTGGGCATCCCCAAGCCCTCCAGCCCTAGCCTGTGGCCATCTTCTGCCCAGCATCATGCTGGAGGACTTCCAAAGTCAAGAGAAGCATTCCCTCTAGGACTTTCTAGTTCCTCTCAGGAAATTATGGAAAATAGCCATAGAGTTGTGCCGAAGGACCTAGAGATTTCTTAAAGGAACACATGAACCATATCCATGAAGAATCAAATCCACAAACGTGGAGGGCCAACTATATGGGCATTGTGGTTGCTTGTGTTCTGTTGCTGCTTTGTGTGGCCATTTTGCATGATCGTGTCGTTGTTGATGTTGATGACGATGATGGGACATGGGGACCCCTCAAAGAAGATATTACTACTGAGAGTGGCTGTGGGAGAAGATTGGCAGGAAATCAGAAGCAATTCCCAGGAAGGGACGCAGCCATGAATGACGCATGGCCTTCTCTGGGTCTTCCTCTTGGGAGATCCAAGAGGACGAGATTCAGTCCCAAAGCCTCAGCTTTCCCCATCAAGAATGGGCATGGCCCAGAGAGCTGTATGTAGTTCTAAAACATCGGGTCGTGGGTGAAATCTCTCCAGCAGGAAATCCTAAGTCCACCACTAAGGATTTCTTTCCTTGGAGTCATGATAGTTACATTGCTTTCAGACTTGTGTTGTTAGAGACCCTAAATTGGGTCTTCTTAGGTCCACATCATGGGAACATGTAAGGAAGGAGACAGTCCCAATAAAAGATCAAAAAAACAAGGTTTATTTTAGTTTCTTCATGAAGAAGACGGACAGCCTGGCAGCATACGCAGATGCTACCCTTCAAGAGACTGCCGCGTCCCTCCTCTTTTTCTGCTGACTTTTATACACAAGTAATAGGTCATGGAAAGTAGTCTCTTTCCAGCCCCTCTCCCTTGACCTTTTGATGGAAAGTACCTTCTTGTACCTGCAGACTCTGCGCTTAACCACAACCTTTGAACTTAACCACAACACAACTTCCGACCTCTACATGTCACATCTTGTTTCTTAAAAACATTTTCTTCCGTGTTGCTCCTTTTCTACAGAGAAAGGGTATGTTTCTCTTTTGCTGTTAATTTCATTCAAAGCCCCTTGCTTAGCATTTGCAAATTTCACTCAAAGACCCTTTCAGTATCCTGCAGTGTAGACCCAGTCTTTCTGGAATGGGAATGAAAGAGCATGATTACACACTTTGCTCAATGTGAACTTGGAAATGCTTCGTAAACCATATAAGTGGGCAAATATGGGACTGTGACACAGCTGACTGGGAGTCAGCTGCATTAAGATCACTACTGACCAAAAGGTCATGAGTTTGAAGCCAACCAGGGTCAGAGTGAGCTCCTGATCAATTTGTGTAGCTTGCTGTTGACCTTTCAGCCCGAAAGACAGTTGCATCTGTCAAGTCGGAAATTTAGGTACCGGTTATGCGGAGAGGCTAATTTACGACGCCATAAAAATTTCCAGCAAGCATGCAAAGAATGAGGAAGTACTTCATCATTGTCACTAATGGGCAGTGAAGCGACAGCTCCCCTGGTGGCCAGAATACGCTCATGAAAAAGCTGGAATGTTAAATAGTCTCTGTGTGTCTGCCTATATCAGTTCTTCTCAACCTGGGGTCCCCAGATGTTTTTGGCCTACAACTCCCAGAAATCCCAGCCAGTTTACCAGCTGTTAGGATTTCTGGTAGTTGAAGGCCAAAAACATCTGGGGACCCCAGGTTGAGAACCACTGGTCTATATATATGTTGTGTGTCTATGGCATTGAATGTTTGTCATGTATATGTACATTGTAATCTGCCAGACTGTAGGATCTATATAGCAATATTAAATAACCACTCACAAGCCGGTTTTGCTTTGAAATGGATATATTGCTTGTATCTCCACAGCAAAGAAAGACACTACTGACTGTTTCCCACCACCACTTCCTTTTATACACCTTTCCCGCCCATCTCCCCCCTCTTCTCAGTTTCCTTACTAGAACTTGTTGCTTCAGCACCCTCTGCTGGCTTCAAAATGTCAGAGAGAGAGAACTGATTCAGCCAGGATGATTCAGTCTGGATGTCATGGAGAGAATTTGTGATGTCTCCATGCCATCAGAAATTGACTCCTGACAGAAATTTAGGTACCGCTTATGCAGAGAGGCTCATTTACAACACCATAAAAATCTCCAGCAAGCATGCAAAGAATGAGGAAGTACTTCATCGTTGTCACTAATGGACAGTGCAACGACAGCTCCCCTGGTGGCCAGAATACACTCATGAAAAAGCTGGAATGTTAAATAGCCACTGTGTGTCTGTCTAGATATGTTGTGTGTCTATGGCATTGAACGTTTGCCATGTATATGTACATTGTAATCCGCCCTGAGTCCCCCACTCAAGGCGGAAGCCTTTCTTCCTTGAGGTCAAGTTATGCCTGACTCCTCCTTGGTGCTTCTCTGCTTCCTTTGAGGATGGAATCGGGGCTTCGGGGTGGCACAAATACCCTTCCATTGGAGTGCAGACAGTTTAGGTTGTCAGTGTTGGAATGCATTATAATCCTGCACATTTCTTTTTTATTAACTGGCATTGTACATCAAAGTGTGTGGTTGTTTTAATAGTATTATGCTTACGTTTTATCATGGTCATTTGTATGATTTTGTGTTAGCAATTGAAGGCTTTGCCCTGGGCTGGAAACTGCCCCAAGTCCCCTCAGGGAGACACAGCAGGATACAAAGAGAGATTGTATTATTATTATTATTATTATTATTATTATTATTATTATTATTATTATTATTATTTGAAACACAACAGGATGAGTCCACAGCAGACACTCTGCTGGCTGTTGTATTGGATCACACGTCAGACCCTTCACAAGTGTCTAGGACTCTGTGATGTATTATTATTATTATTATTATTATTATTATTATTATTATTATTATTATTATTACCCACAGTGGGTTAAAAGCTTGTGATGGGAGAACTGAAGACCAACAGGTCGCAGTTTCGAATCTGGGAAGAGCGTGGATGAGCTCCCTCTATCAGCTCCAGCTCCTCATTTGGAGACATGAGAGAAGCCTCCCACAAGGATGGTAAAAACATCAAAACATTTGGGCATCCCCTGGGCAACATCCTTGCAGACAGCCAATTCTCTCACACCAGAATTACAGTTTCTCAAGTTGCGCCTGACACGACAAAAAAACAAACAAACTCTGATTTGACTACTTACACATGGCCTAAA